CAAATTCCGGCCAATCAGAGCCCTTCTACCACTCAGTGGGCGGAGTTTCAGTTTACGGAAACTATAAATGTTTAAGCGGGAGTCAGATATTGTTGGCAGTCTCAAAAGATTTAAAAAAATATATTGTTTAAAGAGGAGAGAATCAGTTACTCAGGACTAATATTTAATCTTTCAGTATGTATTGAGGAACACATGCAAATGAAACAATTTATTAACAAGTTAGACTTGTTTCACTCTATTAATTTATTTTAATTCAGACTCGACGCCCATGATGATTATATATGGAATAATTGCCTCACTAATCGTTGCTTTTGAACAACATCAGAATTTAGTCCACTGGAAATTTGGTCGTTTCATGGGACTTTGTTGACAGTAAAAATATTAGCACTAGCCTTATCCTTTGAATTTCTTTCCTTTTTAAAGAGTAAATGGCACTATGATTCTGAGCCTGTGGAATGACGGGGAAAAACCTGCACTGGTCTTCTCTGGCGTTTGTTTTTTAAATCTTTGTTAATGTACTGTACTGCTGCAACCATTATCTTCACACACCCCGGCTAATACCTATAGGTGTCATTCCATATGATTCCATTTGGATGCACTGCCATTCTACACCCACGTCACCTCCCCTCTTTCTACTGTTCACTGTGCATGAATGTGCCATTAGGGAACGCGAGGGGCTCGGAGAGGCACAGAGCAGAGATGAGGGGCGTGACTACAAGGTGCCTGAGTGGATCCATCTTTACAAAGTGCAGCATTCTCATTCGCTTTTTATTTGACACGAGGTGGCCGTGTCTGTGACACAAATGGCTTCAGAGACAAAACTGTGGATTGTTTTTGTTGCCATGCTAAACATTATGCTGTTTTTTTTATAGTAAAATAAACTGCTGAGAGGTTTCACAGGTACCCTGAGATCTGATTCTTGTTCTTCATGTTCTGCTGTGCTGTCAGGTCTCTTATGGATCTAGATCGATGCTGGTGTTTACTTTGTACAAGCTGTCGTTTTGGCACACAATACCAAAGCTACAGACTTAAAGAAGAAACAAAAGTGACCAAATGTATGTGGACACGCTGCAGCTTGGAAAGGTGCATGGTGCACTGTCTAAAATATCACAGGCTGATGCACAGCAGCACAAAGCCAAAATCTATAAACAAAAGGTTTGTTTAAATGTGTGGAAAGCTCAGGTGTGTCCTGTTTTAACTGCACTCTATCCTGGGAGTCATTTTACATGTTCACGTAGCTCACCAACAGATGGCAGGAGCACTGCATGACAGGCTTTACGCATGAGGCCCTTTGTCTTCTTTTTTGTTATTACTGATCATTGTTTATATGACGGAGGACAAGGAGGAAGAATGCTAATCTTCTGATTAACACTGCCCGTTACATTATCCGTCACGGCATTAATATCTGTATTTACAAGTCAAATCAGTGGCTATTATCTCCAATAGGAATCAGTTAAGATCTTGGTCACTCCTGCTGTGCATTTACATAGCAGTGCCAGACTGTAATCAAAACTGAAGCGTCCC